GGTCATGTAAATTCGGTTTCTCAAAGTGGAGACTGTGCTCGTTCCATCTAATGTCAAACTGAATCGTGACTTGGGAGTGCACTTGATGACATTGTTCGTTTGCGCCTGTTGATAACTAGAGAGACTCGAGGGCAGGATGAATCAAGCTCAGCCATTGGGATTGAGGGGATCCGATCTGCCGGATCATGTGAGATGTTCCCGGACAGGTTAGAGCCAATCCTATCTCAACCTTTCCTGTCATCGTGCCCAGCGCGACATGTACGTGGCGTGAGCAACCATGGCATACCCTGCGGTGCCTGCCTGCCTGCACCCTCCGAAACGCCATGCTGTGTGCCTATTACTTGTAGGACTGTATTGTACACAGTAGTTTTAAAGCCTGCCATCGCCCAAGAACCTCATGCGTCATAAAATGCATGCCGTCTGCCCAAATAAACAGCTGCGCTTGTGCCTCGCTCCCCCTTTTCAGGTCGATAGATGTGCCTTGGACTTTGTCTCTTTCTTGGTCTTGGCCTCTTCCTTCTTTTTCTTCTTTGCTTCCGCAATCTTCTCGTCGTGTTTGCGTTTCAGGCTCTTCTTCTCTTCCTCCGTCTTGGGGACAGCCTTGAAAAACCCCTCGAGTCGCGACTGTTGGGCTGTTTTGACGTTTTTCTGTAACTTCTGCGCCGCACTTCGGACACGGTCCTCGTTGAACCCCTTCTCGTGAACCAGGAATTGCACGAGACCCTCGACATCAGGAGCTTCCCACTTGAAGTCGCATTCCGGATCATCGGCGGATCGCACGTCTGGGTGCAGAAACAATTCTCTCGCCTCCTTGTACGGCCAGTCTTCCGGAATGGTATATCTCTTTTTGGTATCATTCTCAATGAAATCAACAACTCCCTCCAGAGAACCGTGCTCCCGGATGAGCTTCAGCGCAGTATTAGGACCGACTTTGGGGATTGGGTCGAGATAGTCGCACCCCAAGAGTATACATAGGTCGATGAACTGGACGAGTCAGTTGGCTACAACTGGCTGGCACTCTGGGAGAGTCATACCTGATTTCTGTCCATACCAAGTCCCTCCAAGGTCTTATCGAGATGAATCTCTTGAATGGGTTCCTTGCGCTGTTCACTGAATGTAAGGTGGCGGAGCAAGATTGGTGAGTTGAACGTCAAAGTATCCATGTCCTCAGACGCTGCTGCGTACACCTTCCCAGCACGCGCCAGAACCGCACACTGAGCCTCCGCCTCGGTGGGGGCTACAATGTAAGGAATGCCCATCAACTTCAACAGTCGTCGGCACTCTTCGTTATGCTCTCTCGTGACCCTGACCGTGCGCCGTGAGAATTTCTCAACCTCTTCGGCGGTACCTGTCTCTTTTGCCTCTTCATGCTGATCGCTCGCCTCGTTTTTCCGAGCAAAGCGCTTCGCCAATTCGCCAGATTTAAGCTTGGGGGGTGCGCCATCGAAAACGTAGAGTGGTTTAATGCCATTGTCGACCATGCGCAAGGTGCGGTAAAACATGCCCATAAGATGAGACGTGGTTTCACCCGTATCAGACATGAGCTGTTGGCCATCTGAGCGGACCGCTATTAGGAAACTGTAGATGCTCATCGACCTGTGCAAGTCAGTCGTCTGTTTCGCCGATTCGGTGAGTTGCGCAAAGCCTACGCGTCCTAGCACATCAAGGTCAGTAACAGCACCCGCGATGGACAGCAGTCACTTACAATTGCAACCTTCCTCCCAAAGTGGTTCTTGATCTCACCAGTCTTGATGGCATCAGGCGCCTCTTCGGCGATGACATGGTAGAGTTCTGCTGACAGTGAGCTTGTTGAGGCCTGACAACCGGCTGAGCGATGTCACATACGTTTAATCCCCATGGTGAGAGGACGCTGTGATTCTTACAGATCGGGTGAGTGGACGTTGGAAGTGAATCGCATGACAAGAAGCCGCAGGACGAAAATGCGCGTAAAGTGACCCGCAGAACCGCGTTTCGCGCCTGTAGGATGGGCCCAAGTGAATGACGTAAATGACGGCGTGCGCACTCCATAAGCTCCTCCGCAGCTGCGACCAATCGAGTGCTACTGCCGAGTTTGAGACCGTGCAGTGCAGCATCACCAGCATTGGGCTTGTGTTATTCTAAGAAAGAGACCTTTGTCTCTGAATTGACCTATAGACTTTTGTCAGTCCGGCGACCCGTCGAGTCTCAGAAGGACGTCTCCGCAAGCTCTTGCGAACCCTCGTGTCTTTCAAGTGGCGATGTGAACGCCTCTGTCTCGGAGATTCTCTAATTCCCTAGTACTTTGAGTCGCAGGTACATTGACAAATCGCCTCGGCAATTTAGCAGTAAATAGCACATATTGAATCACCTCGCTGATCTCCACGTCTATAATTTTCGCCATTTCTCCTTCAAATTTGAGACTATCCGTTTCTTCGTCTCTCTCCCTCTCTCCTTGCACTTGCTCCTGTGGACTCACTTCTCATGATGTCACGCTCCCTCCTTCGTCGAGCTGCGCGAGCGCGCTTGGTCCCGACAGCGAATCCGGCCCCTCGCCGACATGCTTCCTCAGTTGCAGCTTTCAAATGGGAGGACCCTCTCAACCTGTCAAACTTTCTCACCGAGGAAGAACAAGCGATCCAAGAAACAGCACACTCGTACTGTCAGGAGCGCCTGCTACCCAGGGTTCTGGAAGCCTACCGCAAGGAGGATTACGACAAGACAATCTTGCAAGAGATGGGCGAGCTAGGTCTCCTGGGTGCCACAATAAAAGGTCACGGGTGTGCAGGCGTGAGCAACGTAGCTGCTGGGCTGATAACGCGGGAAGTGGAAAGAGTTGACTCGGGTTACCGGTCAGGCATGTCTGTCCAAAGCTCCTTAGTTATGGGACCTATAGATGAGTTTGGATCACAAGAACAAAAGGACAAATTCTTGGAGAAGCTCGCCAGAGGTCAACTGGTTGGCTGTTTCGGTCTGACGGAGCCCAATCATGGCTCCGACCCAGGTTCTATGGAGACAATTGCGAAGCCACATCCGTCAAAGGAGGGATACTTCTCGCTCTCAGGCGCAAAGACCTGGATCACAAACTCGCCAATCGCGGACGTGCTGCTTGTGTGGGCGAAGTTGCAAGAAACAGGCAAGATCAGAGGGTTTTTGGTCGAGAGAGAGAAATGCCCCCCAGGCACACTCGAGACGCCACCCATAAAGGACAAAAACGGACTTCGCGCATCGATAACGGGCATGATCCAGCTCGACGATTGCCCCGTCCCCAAGGAAAATATGTTCCCCGATGTTGAGGGTCTCAGAGGTCCGTTCAATTGCCTCAACTCGGCACGGTATGGCATCGCTTGGGGAACCATGGGTGCCCTCGAAGACTGCATCAGCCGGGCCCGAGAATATGCCCTAGAAAGGAAGCAATTCAAGAACAACCCGATTGCCAAGTATCAGCTCGTTCAGAAGAAGCTGGCCGATGCTGCCACAGATGCAGCTTTCGGGCTTGCCGCTGCATATCAAGTTGGCCGTCTCAAGGATGAGGGCAAGGTCCTTCCAGAAATGATTTCAATGATCAAGAGACAGAACTGTGATCGAGCGTTGGTGAATGCCAGACATCTCCAAGAGATATTTGGTGGGAACGCCGTCAGCGACGAGTACCACATTGGGCGTCACGTTGCGAATCTGTTTGTGACGCAGACATATGAAGGGCAGAGTGATATACACGCCTTGATCCTGGGGCGTGCTATTACTGGGCTGCAGGCATTTTGCTAAGGGTAAACCGACTGTATTTATCCGACCGCTCAACCGTCGAGCCTCAAGTACATGCTTATCCCACGCTCGGCATGTCTTTTGTGATCACGGCTATCATCCCCGTCTCGCGGTCCAGTGGCAACAGTTCATCACCAGTGCATTGATTGGACCCAGCCTCAATGAAGCCAGAGTTATCTGGGAATGCCTCACGAGCACGGCGCCAATGGCATACTTCGATACTCACAGACACCATGCTCTCGAACAGCTCAGGACTTGAATATCTGTGGTATATGTCGGCGAACATTGATATAGATCATTTGGAGGTATATATTCAACCTCCAACAGCTATACCTGATCTCCAGCAGGCGGGTGCAGGGACAAAGAGTACATAAGCGATTGCAGCATGAAAATAAATGTGAGTCTCCGACAAACATTGTTCTCAAATTATTCAAATTTGCATACGGTAGAGACGTAGATGGTATCATCATCATGGTGGCCACGTGAGATTTTGCTCCAGTAAGCCAGTAGTGTTCCTGACTCAGAAGCTGGGAGAGACGGAATGAACCATTATTATTATTGTTACCCTGTATTGTTTCTGAGCCAACGTCTCGTCGAATATTTGTTGATGGTTCCGCGTTGTCGCAGGCAATGCTTTGTCAGAAAGAAATCTAATGACAACAGATGACAGGAAATATGGCCTCGCTGCGGTGGCGAAGCCAGGAAAAAGTTGACGCCCAAGTGGATTTCATTGGGCGAAGGCGGCATCTAGGCAAAGGCACCCACCCAAGCCACCCACGCACCGCCCACGCCCGCCCGCCTTGCCTGAGGTTCACCGTCCGGCGTCACTTGTAGTCAGAGATGCGCCCCTCGCTCCCTCGCTCTGCCTGCCCGCTGGGTGCCGCCATTACTGCGTCCAGCACCTTCTGCGGCCTGCCAAGCGTGAACGCCCTTCTTTCAGTTTAAACTGCGATCCAGTCGGCTGAAGGAAAGTCGATCTCTCTTCCCTTTCACCACTGACTGCATAACAACCAACCTCACCAAACCGATCAAACCTCGTTGACAATACTGTCCCCTCTCCTGCGACACCCTCATCGTCACCTCTAATTCTTAAATCTCTCCTTCGCACATTCCTCAGGTTCGTCCGCTATCCTTTATTCTATCAGCCCATTACCAACCACTTTAGAGTTGACTCAGATAATAGCCCCACGTTCCGCTCGATATCGACCACCTTCGGCCTCAAAATCCTCCCTCCCTAACTCAGAAAACCCATATTTTCAGCCATGGCTCTGAAGCGAATCAACAAGGAACTCACAGATCTTGGCCGGTGAGTCCTATCTGCTCTCTGAATGCTGCGGGCGGCAAATTCGGGCCTTGCAAAATCATACGGACTTGTTTGGACAGCTATACTGATAAGTTGGGATGTAGTGATCCTCCCTCCTCATGCTCAGCCGGTCCTATGGGTGATGATCTGGTAAGTATACAGTTCTGGAAAGCGGTCGAAATCGACGAGGCCACCGCGCAGATACGACCTCCTGCACCTGGATCACTGGCTGACATATGAATTAGTTTCACTGGCAAGCCACAATCATGGGTCCCGTAAGTTATCAAAGCTGTTTGGCTCAAGATGCTTTCGGAACTGACCAAATTTTTCAGAGTGACAGCCCATTTCAAGGCGGTGTCTTCTTCCTGGCCATCCATTTCCCCACAGACTACCCCTTCAAGCCACCGAAGGTCAATTTCACAACTCGAATCTACCATCCCAATATCAACTCCAACGGCAGTATCTGCCTTGATATCCTTCGAGACCAGTGGAGTCCGGCTTTGACAATATCGAAAGGTTTGCACGATCGCCTCCTCCTCGATACGAAAACAATGTGCTAATATTTGCTCAGTCCTTCTATCCATCTGCTCTATGCTTACCGACCCTAACCCCGACGATCCACTTGTTCCAGAGATTGCTCACGTCTACAAAACCGACCGCGCTCGATACGAAGCAACCGCCAGAGAATGGACGAGGAAGTTCGCAATCTAGTGCCTATGGTAGAATGGGCGGTGGTGGTTGTTGATAGGTGGTGCTCGGCAGTGCCAAGCGGCAGGGGCTACGAGCTGCGTTAGATGAGAATTGGCAGTGTTTGGTACCGAGTGACAGCAACGATGACAGCCATTACACGAGGGTTTTGCTAGATGACCCCCAGCTCCACGGATGCGGTTGGCAGAGTATGACATATGCATTACACCAAGGAATGCAATGACAGGCAATGGGAGAAACAGGCGCCGACGTTATGGAGGGATGTTTATGTCCAGCAGCACGATCTCGGATGAATTCTTATGATGCATACAACAGGGCGTGCTTAAGGGAACTGACAACTGTGCTTCTTGCTTACCCGAACATGTGGTTTCTTATCCTCTTGGCCACCGTCGTGCTCAATCGTCTCAGTTCCATCCATTCACATTTCAAACCTCGATGTCAACGTCTGGACAGGCGGTGACGCTTGAGATTTGATGCTGCAGCCGCCTTGCCCCAACCTGACAAGGAGTAATCCGTAGGCTGCGAAATGACCGCATGCATGGTCAAGGTGGATGGGACAAAACCGGGCCACCCAATTAGAGGGGGATTTCGGGCTGCGAAGGCCACACTCCGGAGGATGAGGCTGCGAGGCCTACGATCCTACGAGTCTTGTACGCAGGCACGTGCCCTCCGAAAGGTGATCCAGACTTGGTCATAGTCGCATGGCCTGGTGGATAATAATGGCAGTCGTACGTTACATGCCAATGCGCATGTGTAGGAAAGCCTTGCATCAACTGAAACAAGGAGGCTGAGCGGCAAACCCCAACGAGACGTCCAGAGAGTTGGTTTTTCTGCACCGGCTGGCCCGTTTCGGGGCCTCCCCAACCCCTGGCGCGTTTCACCAAGCCTCATCCACCACGCATCGCCGCCAAATCATCGTTCTTCGAAGCCTCCTTACGACCTTTTCGAAGTCGGTCTCGAAGGCTCCGTCAAGAGCGTCTGGGTTTCGCTTCTGATCGGGTCTCGACGTCTGTCACGCTCTCCTCGGCAACTATGTGGATATTCAAGCACTGGGCTCTGTGCCCCGATTGAGCACCGCTTCCCCCGTCTGTGGGCTCTGGCCTGCGGGATCTACACCTGCCACAACTCCCCCTGAAAACTGCAGGAAAAAGGTCGACAAACTCTGTCATGCCGCCGATGTCTATTATGTAGCGAGAAGCGCCGAAGGGGGAGGGGAAAATGTACTACAACTGTGGCCCTATTTCTCGATCGTCCTGGTCCCTTGGTCTTTCTGTTTACTTGTGCTGATCATCTTCGTTTCTTCACTTGCCCGGTGCGACGTCTTCGCTTTTTTGCATAGATTCGGGGTTGAACCACTTTCATTTCGCTTCTAACACGCCGAGACAGGCTCGTGCGGCGCTGAAACCCCCCAGGTATCCGACTTGTACGAGGCAAGTATACCCAAGTCCTTAGCGAACCGGTGATTTCCTTCATACTAATACTGTGTCAAGACTGTGTTTCGAAAAAGTCGTGAGAAGACCGTCTCGAGTCCGAACCCTGCCGCAGCATCTGGCACCGAATTGCAGTGTGCAGTGGACCAGTCCTGGAAACAAAATCGTATCAGGTAGTTCTAGACCGCAGTTCTTGGACCTTACATTATCATCTGCATGCCATGGACACGTCGATGCCTCCGCCCTACCCTTCCTACTTCTACGACAAGCCGCTGGGACGGTCCAACACTACGACGCACAATAATGCTCCAATGTATTACATCGAGAAGCCGTTGGCCAGGTCAAACACATCGTCGACCACTTCGACGATGACGGAACGCACAAGATCAACTCCTCTGTCGAGGATGCTGCTGTCCGGGGAGGTGAGCGGCGAGGCGCCTCGGGACCTGAACATGAGAGAGAAGTTTGAGAGGTGGATGGTCAACGAGGGCTCGAGGAGGATAGTGGTGGGAGTGTTCGTGCTGGTACACGGACTGGTCTTTGGCTTCGGCTTCATGAACTACCAACTCAAGGACAACTTGACTGGGGCGCGGGCGACATTTGGCATCACATATCCCATTGCGAGGTCGGCCGCACTGGTCCTGCATTTCGACGTCGCCTTGATCCTCTTCCCCGTCTGCCGGACGCTGATATCCCTACTCCGTCAAACGCCCCTGAACAGCATTGTCCCCTTCGACAAGAACCTTACCTTCCACAAACTCGTCGCCTACTCGATCGTCTTCTTCACCTGGGTGCACACCATTGCGCATTGGAATAACTTTGCTCAGCTCGCGGCGAAGCAGAACCTGGGCTTCGTCGGCTTTCTGAAAGCAAACTTTGTCACAGGCCCGGGTTGGTCTGGCTATGTTATGCTCTTTGCTTTGATGGCGATGCTCTTTACGTCAATCGAGAAGCCTCGTCGCGCCAATTACGAGCGGTTCTGGTCCGTCCACCACCTCTTCATCGTGTTCTTCGTCTTCTGGTCCGTGCATGGCGCTTTTTGCATGATCAAGTCCGATACCGCACCTTTCTGCTTCGGGACGGGCGTGTTCTGGGAATACTGGATGTACGGAGGCTTCGCGTATCTCCTGGAGAGAGTTCTTCGCGAGATCCGCGGCCGACACAAGACCTTCGTCACCAAGGTCATCCAACACCCTAGCAATGTTGTGGAGATCCAGATGCACAAGGAGAAGACGAAGACACGGGCGGGCCAATATATCTTCCTCTGCTGCCCTGAGGTCTCGATCTGGCAGTACCATCCGTTCACCCTGACGTCTGCACCAGAAGAAGACTATATCTCGGTGCACGTACGGATGGTGGGCAACTTCACCAAAGCTCTCGGTAAAGCGCTCGGTTGCGAGGACAGCAAAGGCCGGGGCGACGGTAAAGGAGATGGTCGCAAAAAGCCTCGTTCCGAAGTTGTATCCATGGCTCCTGGGGGGCTGCAGAAGCTTCTTCCGCGGATCTACGTTGATGGACCGTTTGGATCCGCCTCGGAGGATGTGTTCAAGTTTGAGACAGCAGTGCTGGTCGGCGCGGGTATCGGAGTGACGCCATTTGCCAGCATCCTCAAGTCTATCTGGTACCGCATGAGCCAAGGTCGCGACAATCAGACACGGTTGAAGAAAGTCTACTTCTTCTGGATTTGCCGCGACTTTGGGTCACTGGAGTGGTTCAAGAGTTTGCTCACAGCCATCGAAGCTCAAGATAAACAACACGCCATCGAGATCCACGCTGTATGTTCTCCCTTTTCTCCTGAGACATGTTCGTTCAGCCACATTTTGCTAACTGGTTTCGTCTTTAGTATCTCACCGCCAAGATCTCTGCCGCAGACGCCAACAACATCATGCTCAACAGCAGTGACACAGACGCCATTACGGGGCTACGCACGCCGACGAACTTTGGCCGTCCGAACTGGGACATGGTTTTCCGGGCCATCCGAAAATTGCATTCTCCTGGCGAGGCGGGTGTATTCTTCTGTGGTCCTAAAGGTCTGGGCTCGCAGTTACACATACTGTGTAACATGTACAGTGAAGGCGACAAGGGTTTCAGCTTCGTCTGGGGCAAAGAGAACTTTTAATGTCCCGGTGCTTTTTCCTCTCAAACTTGACTTTACTTTGATGCAATTCAGAAGCGTTTGTAGCAAATGTTGGATACTGGAGGGACAATTGGACTCAGCTCAAGGCAAGACTTTGACTTATTTTCAGCAAATCTGGGAAATTGGGGCAGCAGCCAAAAGCCATGAGATGGATCCGCGAGGCTTGTGTCCCCAGGCACGCCGGCCCCATGGTTCGACCTCAACAATGGACATTACATACATACATGGTGTCCTCTGCCACCAAAGTTTGGCACTTCCCAATTGAAAGGGAGGGGGGAATGCCATGTTTGTTTGTACCACAACCAACCTTATGTTTTCAAATAGAAGATACCACGATACATCATCACATCAGTACTCGGTCAACGAGGGCTTTTTACGAGGCGATATATAGAGAGAACTTGAGGATTTTTTCAGAAAAAGGCGAAAAAAAAAAGAGCAGAGGCACCGGTTTGTTTTTTTTTCTCTTCTTTTCCTTGTCATTGTAAGCGAGAGCACTTTTTCTCGATTACCTCGTACTTTGGTTCTAGCCATGTGTAATACTTTACCATGTACACGGCGTGGGATACCCGTCCGTTATCCCGCTGTTTTGCTTCCAGTCAGAGGTGCGACTCTCTTGCGGGCGGCTTAGAACATGCGTTGTGTGGTATTATTATGTGGTGTGCTGCGGTATCATTCTCGAGTAACCGCCCATCAGCTCTTCAAGCGCCGGCAAGGACAGTAAAAACAATAATCCAATCTCTATCTCTATCTCTCCCTCCAATGAAAAACCCAACAAACAAAACTTGCGAATCTGACCTGCGGGGATAATATATCGTCACTAAAACGAGCCCTAGAAAATTTGTATCTTCTTTCTGGAGGGAAAACGCCCCATTGTCTGTCTGTCTGTCCGTCCGTCCGTCCGTGTGTATGTATGTATGTAACCAGTGCCAGTACACCGTTGCCAAAATATCCATCTCTTGATATTGTTTTTTTGCAAACACATCAAAAACAAAACATTGGCGATAGTTGCCTTTCTTTCTTTCTCCCATCAAGATCGCAGGAGGACGCTCTGTCTGTTGTTATCTTTGAGGTTGTAGATGGACAGGACCCTCCTGACGGCCCTGCCACTCCCGGGCTTCAACAGTGCGTTGAGCTCGCTCCCATGGAACACGGCGAAGAGAAGCATCGTGGTGAGCATCAGCACGGCGTCGAAGACATAGAGGAATACCTCGTGCGAGATCAGGTAGCCGTCGTTACCCTGGCCGTACTCGATGAGGCGGAAGAGGGACCGAATCAGGATGAGCAGGCTGCCGGCGTAGAGGCTGTAGATGTGTCGTTTCCAAGCGGTGGCGATGTCGACGTCGGCGAGGACCTTGGACGTCGGCGCGCGGTGCATCCGCACGTGGAACATCAGGCCCACGACGACGAAGAAGGAGAAGAAGATGACCTGCACGACC